CTACTACTACTACTACTGCTACGACTACTACTGCTACTACTACTACTACTACTACTACTACGACTACTACTACTACTACTACTAATACTACTACTACTACTACTACTACTACTACTACTACTACTACGTGCCAAGTGGGTGACAAAAACTACTACTACTACTACTACTACTACGACTACTACTACTCCTGCTGCTGCTGCTGCTGCTGCTGCTACTACTACTACTACTACTACTACTAGTCCTACTCCTACTCCGACTGCTACTGCTACTGCTGCTGCTACTGCTACTACTACTACTACTACTACTATTACTAGTCCTACTCCTACTCCGACTGCTACTGCTACTGCTGCTGCTACTGCTACTGCTACTGCTACTGCTACTACTACTACTACTACTACTACTACTACTACTAGACACCTCCAGAACCACTGACATGTCCCATAAACCAGAACACAGAGAATCGGGTCTGAGACAAAAACCGTGAAGCCTATAAACACCGGAGGCCATGATGCATTGTCCTAGAGATAGCTAAGGTCCTGACCAATCGAGGCACGCTCTCGATCAACTGGCGCAACCTTGCGAGGACACTGACGAAGCGGCCAGCCAGCAAATGCTACAATGTGTTGTAATGATTCGGGTCAAGCAATCCCGGCTCACAGCTGAATCCAAAGTCTGTCTGAGTTTGAGGGTTGATGCTTCGACATGTCGTTCGGAGGGCTGTTCTACCTGCAGACGATGTCACTACGGTACGTGTGCACTTTCTTAGCATGTGGGCTTGGTTTATGTCTAAATTATGACAAAGTGCTCAGAATCAGAAGCACTGAAATCTTGCCAATCTAGCAGATGCAAGCACAAGACATGCCCCACAGGAGTCCGAACACCGGCAAAATCGCGAATGAATCTGTGGCCGAATGTCGCAGCGTCAAAGCTTCTCACCGCCAGAGCTGGATGCATGGCAGCACTTCCTGACATGTTCTGGTTGGTCTGAAACTCCTCGACCTGACCTGTTGTTTAATCGCACGAGTAGCTTTCGGAAGTCCCTGGCAGCCGGGCCCGGCCGGGCCTGAAGGTGCATCAAATCTGGTTGCAGTCATTGGACTGGAACAGTTGGAATCGATCTCCTGTCATGCTACAAGCTTGGCCAGATCACGCTCATAATTGATCGTAATTGACTAAGACTGCAAACAAGATCTATGACAACTTCCGGGATGCGCCCGCGAGCCTCCAAGTCTGACATTTCTTCGATCACTGCTTCCGAAGGTGCAGTTGACATTGATGATTTGGAAATCTGACGCGCTTTCCCAGTTCCGTCGCCTGGTTGACACTGCATCATACGACCCACTGCAGCGGACAAACGACAAACTGTCCCGCCGCTGGAACCAGCAAAGCGAATTGTGCAGGCGTAGTTCTAGCTGCGAGGCTGCTTTCTGCTATGACTGCGACGACGACGACGACGACGATCGCTCCAGGAGCAGCATGGGCAGAAGAAGGAGCACTGCAGATGAGAGAACTACGCATGCCATAGTCTTTGACTTGGTCACCATGGAAGGCATAGACAGCTATGGTGGTGTGCTACCTCCCCAGCCCTTTTCGCATTCCTCCCACGAGAACGGGGCCAACGACCAGTAAAACAGCATTATGCCGAGGGAGAGCATGAGAGCAATGAGAATGACTTGCGTTCAGGGAGCGATCTTCCAGGAAGATGGAAGCACAGCAATCAAAGGTGGTGCTGGGTGTTTTCATTAGAGGAGCTCTGGAAGTATTGCACGCGAATAGCAAACAGGCACACTACGATACGAGGTCGCCGCCAACACGATCAAGGCTACGGCTACATAAGTACTCCTCTGTAGCTTCCGGGCAGTGCCTGCGCTTGGATCATCAGAGAAAAACGCAGTTTTTCTTTCGAGCTTGTGAACCATGGCACTGTGTCTGTATGAGTACGTTGTCCTTCTTGCATGCTGATAAGTCATGCCACATCATAATTTGCGTCTGTGCTGGTTAAAAACAACGAACGCTGCCCTCAACACACAAAACTTGGTTTCCTTTTCAAGCGTTCGTTCGACTGGGGGCTTGGTGCGGTTGGTGGGCACATGCGGACACAACACAACCTTCAACCCCTAAACCCTATAAACCCTATAAACCCTATAAACCTCTGACACCCATCTGATGGTCCGTCGCTGAGAGCTGGGCCGAAGCGCCCCACGGGCACCACGCAAGGCTTCGGAGCGGACATCATGTGCTCCAAGCCTGTCAAAGCGCGCTCTTCCGCAATGGTCATGACGGGGGGAGGTGTTTTTTGGACGCCACAGGCCAGGTTTAGGGGCGTTTAAGGGCTTCGGTGCTCACACTCGGACAATCCAGGTGAGGCATGTGGTTCGTGGATTTTAACGGGTGTTTTGGGTTCTAAAGAAATCGAAACCTGGCGGAGGCCGCACGGCTTGGAGATCCGCCTGAGCACAGGTTCAAGTACACCATAAGAGTCAACAGCAGCGGGAACTGCCTGGTTCTGGGCCACCTTGGCCCGGGCGAGCTCCAGTGCGTGAGGTGCCTGGGAAGCCTGGGAAGAGAATCAAAATTTCTGATCTTGCGCATGCCATTGAAAACCGAATCTGAATCTGGCTCTTCGGAGTGCATCCAGAAACCACGGGCCACGGTTGCGGTAACAGAGAAGGATGTGAACTCATCTCCTTGGACGCATGGTGGCCGGCGAATCTGAGTCCTCTGAATTGTTGCTACCACTTTCCCACAAGGACACAAAGACAACAAGCAGTGCCAAGAGCGTGCCACGCTTCCGGAGCCCACTGCATCGGAAAGGATGGTTTGCCGCTTTGGTTCTGAAGGAAGGTAGCGAGAAGCTGCTGTGCATAAGAACCTGCAGAATTGCGCCCAGGCTGGTTGCAAGCACAGAGGGCGGGCTTCTGCTTTTTCGCGGGCAGTTCTGCCTTGGGTCATCTCCATGGTCCTTCTTCAAAGACCTGGCCGAACTCTCAAGACGCCGACTACTACGAGCTTCCACCACAAACTGAGTTCCTGGCTGACTTGCCTTTCCAGGTGCGCGTCAAACAGGTGCCAATGCGAAGCGGCACAAGCTCTTGAGCCATGCAGCGCGTAAGTGCAGACAAGTGCAGAGCAAGTCCACACTCCAGTGGAAGATGCAACCCTTTCGGCATACCCGAACCCCCTCCCAGGAGTTTTGGACCACGTGTCCTTCGAAAATCCGCAAGAGCGTTTCGGATGGCCCTCCGATCCCTGGGCTGAAGGGTTCGATGAGCTCGGGGCAAGGGCTCCAAGATGCCAAGGCCACCTATAGGGCCAGCTATCATGCACCGAATTGCTGAATCGTTGCTTAGCCATGGCTTAACCTGGCTGAACTGCTTGGGGAACTTACCATCCTGATCTTGGAGTACTGGGCGGCTCAGCCAGAAAGCTCGGCGAAGAACAATTGCACTACAGTTGCTCTTCGACAGCGATAACTCGCATTCTTTGGCCCCATGAACGGTGCAACGGCAACCAGTCTGCTTGAGGATAAGCACCCTTTGGCCCTATCACCTTCCTGCGTCAATCGAAAGGGGCTCATACAAGAAGCCTCTGCAGCAACTCAGAGGTTAATTGCGGGATCCTCGGATCAAAGCTTGCAGTCACTGGAGGCTTGCAACTTCCGCAACAGGAGGAGGCAGACTGCACTCTCTCAAAGCCGATCGAAGACCAATGCTTGCGTGCAGAAGTGCTAGCCCTAGAGTTTGTGGACACAATGGACATCGCCTGACGAGTCTTTGCGAATGAAGGCGAGGAGTACCAGCACCACTCACACACTGGAGCTCGCCAGCTCTTGTCCTGGCGCTGATGCTGCTCTCCCTGCCCCCTCCCCTCCTGAACCGCTTTCAAACATTGCCCGAAAGGGCTTGTGGAGAGTCCCTCGCTATTCGTCCGCGCACTGTTACACGGAAGAAAGCAATGCCACGGCGCTTGAAACCACGATGGTCAGCACGCGGTTTATGCAACATGCTCATACGACCGGTCATATCGCTGGCATGGAAGACGGGGATCAAGTCGAGCACGGAAAAGCAGTAGCATGGAGTAGGCGTTGCTTCAGCGAAAAATTGTCACGTTTCAAGATCCGGGCAACCGATAAAAAACACTAGAAACACTAGATCTGTGTGCAGCTGACTGAGATCTCGAAGTATGCCAGGTCTCATCCCTGGTACCGAGCCAAAGTCAGGTGCTTCTGGCTTCTTCAGAGAAGGCAAGAGATCGAAGTGACTTGGCCGGCCTTTAGCAGGCACTTATCCCATGCTACCGGAGGGTTCTGGAGGTGCTCTGCCTGGGATACTTTAGCTGTAGCTTTAGAAGGTTGGTCATGAATGAATCCGCTTAACTTTGGGATTACCACTCGGCAGATGGCGCGGCTGCGTAAAACTTATACAGCTCTCGACTCTTGGATTACCAAGATGAATCTGGCCCCACATACCACCAAGGTAGAGCACGTGCATTGCTGAAGCTTGCAAACGTTTGGCAGGTCGGTGGCTCAGATTGACCTTGGCACTGCCTACCTTCCCAACAAGCTTGCGTGCTCTGTTGAGCTATCGTTTGCACACGTCACCGGCGCGCGCACCGCACACATCTGCACCCGAAGTGATTTAGCAACAAGGTTCTATTCGCAGAGCGGAGCGGCGCGAGCGCGAGCTCCCCAGTTCAGCCAAAAATACCTAGCGAGATCTGGTGTCATGCTGAAACTCACGACAGTCAATGTATCCTGGAAGGAGTTGATATGTCGGTTCGTACAGCTGGAGTATCAGCTCGGAGAGTCCGGTAACCCAAGCAGCTAAGCTAGCCTGCAGCGATCACTGCTCCAGCAGTCTCGACCGCATGTAACACATTCAGGACTGGCTTTAGTTCTAGCACTTACACAATCCTGTTCCTTTTGGTCCTTTCCAAACAATTGTCAACTGTGAATGAATCACTTCACGAAGATGTAATATGTGGGCCGAGGCAACTGCAACTCGACTTACGGCAGTTTCACATCTTGAAACGGGACTGTAGCAATCCAGCGTAGTGCTTTGCAAGTATCCCAGAGAGCAAAGATGTCCGGATCCCCCATGCGCATGGCAGCAGCAACCATGCCACTGAGCTAAAGTCTCCATGCACTCAGACAGACAAGGCATTTCCTAGCACATGACAGGGATCCGATACCTCGTCAACCCGGGGGTCTGCCGCAAAGCATTCTTCGCAGCAAGTGGCTTAAAACCAGTTGAAAAAACTTCGGTGGTCCAGCAGCCTTAGAATCAGAGGAATGCCGCGTGGCATTGCGTGGCTTCTCTTGTTGTATTTTTAGGTATGCTACATACGGTGTTCCGAATCAGCATGTCCACACCGTGGCTCGTGCGGGCTCACGACTGAAGCTCAGCCCAAGACTTGAAGTGCGTGCGCGATTGGGAAAGATCTTCTATAAGCTGATCGTTGCGACCATCTCGCCACCGCCAAATCGCTTGCGGGCAGCCTTGGCAACATCTTGGAAAAGATGGTTCGAGACTTAGCTCAAGCAAAGAAACCGTGGCACGAGACCGGTGCGGGTCTTCATGCTACTCGTAAAGAGAGGGCTAGCTCGTACGCTCAGTCCAGCCATCTGTCCCGGCGGGGAGCTGCTATGATGTGTCTCCCATTGGATGAATTCCTGAGCGAGATCAGGCCCAGCTTGCAGAGGCGTGAAATGCAAAGAGAGAGGGTCCACGGAGATCGAGCTGAACTCTGGCGTTCGATGCTTTTTTCTCTGGGTCTGCTACAGGACACCCAAAGGCTTCGTGAGCTCGCTCGTGTTGTGCGCAGACTGGCTCAAGGTCTGCACAAAACCCGCCATGTCGAACCACTACGCTTCCGTGGTTTTTTGCTGCTGCTTCTGCAATTCTTGCACGCCCTTTTGCGATTTCCATTTATGCTGTTTCTCGGCCAAGTATGGCTCACTGAGCATGGGTTCAACTTGGTTAAGCTCGCCGGTCATCAACGGCAAGCAGCAAGTTACCATTTCGCCGGGGCAAGGCAGGCACGACAAGGTGATCAAGCTTTGCCGAAACCTTTCAAAAACAAAATCTTGATTGACCACCAGTCCCTATTTTATTGACATGGTAGAACCTGGCAGAATGCGGCGCGAGTGTCTGCAATTTGGCCCAAGATCTGTGGAGCAGCTGTTCGACACGGAGAGCCTTCACAGTCTCGGGGCAGCGTGAGACGGCGTGAGACCCTGAAGGATAGGGCTACGGCTATCTAACCAAACGCACGTCATAGACACCCGAGTAACCCAGAACACGCGAATGCCACAACTAAGGCAATACCAAACCAGTTGCATGCATGGTTAGGCGTGGCTCTGGGACTCTGTGAAGCACGTGCCGTAGCACGTGGCCTTTCTGATCGGGAGAAACGACGCCACGCCATCCCATCCAAGGACCAGGATGTTTCAAAACCACGGCAAGGCCTCAGTGCCCTGACAGCACTCAATCACCCGCTGAGCGATGTAGTTGCCGAAGCGATCCTTGGCGCTGGAGTCGCTCGGAGAAGAAGGCAAAACAGGGAGGGTCGTCAAGTTTTGATCTTACATGATGCTCCCATATTTGTTGGTGCTGTTTCTCCGACAAAGCCGTTGTAGATTCTCAGTTCGCCCAGTAGATGTGCTTTGCAAATGGTCGCTTGAGAACAAACGAGAAAGGGAGCCTCTCTCTCCGAAGTCTCGTGACATGTCTGCTTCACCTACCAACTGAGTTTTTGTCCCCACCAGGAGCGTGGAGCGATTAGATTTTACGGCAGCTAGTCTTCGCCCCGTCCTCCTGCAAACTCCTCTGCAGTGTATCCCGCAGAATATTCCCGCAGTCCCCCTTCCTGCACCCGCCCACCAAATATGCTGAGGCGTTTTCCCAGCACAGTTATCCAGCGGAGCACCTACGAACTGCTTTCTTGTAGGGTGCAGATTTTCGAGTACAGTATTCCGCGACCTGCCTTCTGGATGCTCCAAGTAAATATTTTGTGTCTTCGATACTCTGTGGCCACCTCATATGTTCAGCTGCGGGAGGTCACTAGATGCCGAGCCAGCTAAATGCTGCCAAGGCCTATACCAGCCAAGCTTCCAACATGAGTTGTAGAAAAGGTGGGTTGCTTCCACCGGATCCATCCAGGAGAAGGGCTCCCATCAATGCAGCTCTCTCCTAAGCGGCTGAACTTTGAAGTTACTTCAGCAGTACCGGGATCCAAACACAGGCACGGTTGCCCTCTAAGCCCTCGGCACATGCGAACTCCTCTTGACGTTCATCACTCGACACCATGATGCATCGCTCCACTACCTGGAAGCACACAGCGAATGTTGTCACTCTCTGCATCAATATTCCCTCTGGGGCACTCAAGGCTTTCAGGATTTATCATCACCTCCTGTGGTGCAAGGCAAGACTGAGACAAACGTGAAAAATCCGGCCACGTTGCCAAGCTCGAGTGTCGATTCCGTGAGAACTTCAGAACATCCTGGCTTCGTATCTTCGCATCAACGTAACGTGGATTGCAGCATCATCTCACGAACATGTCCGATGAGAAGGGCCCTCACCTTACAACCTGACTGAAAGTCGCGCCCAGCTCTGTCCCAACAAGACATCGCCAGGCTTCTGTGCTGATTGCGTTGATCACGAAGCGCGCAGCAGTTCCTGACCCTCGGAGCAGGAGGCTGCGGATGACCTCAGATTTGCTAAAGAAGGTGCGGCGGTGCAAAGCTTCTGCACATGACCAGACACTACGAGGACCAGTGCTGCAAAGTCGCGTTGTTTCCGTAGGGATCCTTACACAGTCGCTCCAGCTGGTCCATGGGTTGGAGGATGCTCTGAAGCCTGAGACGCCAAGCACAGCGTGCACGAGACTTCCATTGAGACCTGACATCACGGACGGCTAAAATTTGATGACCAACTTGAGCTCCCACATCGTAGCCATCGGTTCCCATCCGGCCCACGTCTCCGAGCTACGATGACGGCTTAGGACGGGGAACATGGGAATGCTAGACAGGTGTTGGTACCCTAGGGAGGGAAAGGAAACCCTATGGCCCTACGCCTCCAAAACATGGCCGAAGCTGCAGCTCCGGCATCTCCGGATGCGATGGACAACGCTCCACCAGGCGCTGCAGAATACGACAAGCCTTTGCTATCTGCTCAGACCCCTACAACCACGGAAGAGCCCGAAGAGTTGAAGCCAAACCAGAACGATACCTGATTTAACGGTTAAAACTTCAAGGGCCCACATGAAGCGAGACAGGCCGAGGTAAGCGTCAAAAACCAAGCGATGGCCACCCGCCCACCGCCCGCAATATCGGCATTGGCATTCCCTGTCATAGTTACAGGAACCCCTACAGTTCAGGAACCAAGCAGAGCCAGACTTGCTATGTTTCTCGCAAGCTCCCACTGCTGCCAGCTTCTTGACTTTTGCGTCATGAACCGCCAAGGCTCGTAGATATGCGTGGCGACGGAGGCGGCATGCCCCTGCCAAGGTCTGCCAAGTGCCAGTGCAAATCGCACAGCATCACGCATTACCACACTGCTCTGACTATAGACTAGACGGGCACACACTGCGGCACATAGCACACACCCACGCATGCACTCAAACACAGCACGCCCACCTGCACGCAACACGCACGCACACGCGCACGCACCCACAGATGGACTCACGCACGCACAAGACAGCACAGCCTCAAGCAACTGTAGATGTGCCCGAAGTCAGCTCCAGCACCAAGTTTAATGCCGAAGGGTTTTCTGCGATCTTTCCTGGCCTTCAACTCAAGGATGAGAAAGGAAAGGGACTCTGGCGGGAAAACCTCCACGCATCGCCTCGTCGGGGACGCAAAAGCGAAACGACCCAAGGCCCAAGGCTCCTGATCTGCGATTTCCACCGAGACCTAGACCCTCTGCCGCACCCGGGCTGCATCTCGTCTTTGGGAGATAGAATTTGCTCCCAATTGATTCGGCCGACGAGCCCGGACAGAAATTAAACGGCAAAGACTGTTGCAGCTTTTGAATTACGACTCAGATTGTGGATTCTTGCTTCTGTGGAATTAGGAACGGGTTCCCAGACTTATATTTTTTGCCGCGATTCCTGCTGTGTGTGCGTGCATCTGTGTGCGCGCATGTGCACGCATTACAGCCATCCGGCTCTGAATTCTACAGACCTCGCGTCAAGAATGCGCTGCATCGACTCTAAGATGTCTGCCGAGTGGCTGCAGCACGAAGTTTCCGTGCAAATGTTGGCTGCATGCTAGCCTTGTGCACGGCTGAATGATCTTGAGTGGCAGATCAGTGGACCGGGCTCGAGCATTCCTGTGCAAGACTACAATCTGAGCCGAGGAACACTTTGCCTCGCAGTTCGAGGGGCAAGCAACTTTGCAGCTCTACTGCTGCTACGTCCAGCATGCGCTGCATCACGACGCAGCCAGTTTTGTCCTAAGCCAGCCAACCGTGACTTTCGACATGTTGGCTTCGGTTTAGACACGCTGTCTGCACTGGCTGCAACGGGTAGCCTTCGTCAGCTTGAGCAAATGCCCACGAAGACGTTGGACGAGTCTCACCCGATATTGTGACACATCCCTGCAGCGCCTCAACTGCATGAGACTGCCCAAGATACCAGGAGAGTCGAAACTTCTCCGTGCTAGCCAAGTGCTCCAAAAGCGCTATGAGGACTTTGGACGCGTGGACATCACCTGAAGCGACATGTAGGCAGGGAAATCCAAGGTAATTAAGGCCCTTGGGGGTCCAACATGCCAAGTCCGGCAGCTCCGGGAGCACAGCTGCGACAGCCACAGCAAGGCCCAGAGCACTGGCGCTGGCCAGGCATTGGATCATCCCCTCCGCGCCTGCTTCACGCAAGTGCAAAGCTGCAGTGCAGTACTGTGCCGCTCGTCTGAATCGTCTGGCTGCGTGTTCGCGCCTGCTTCCGTCCTGATAATCTTCACGATGTAGTCTGACAAGGGCGTGCGTTGGGACACTGCTGCCAAAGTGGTGTTGCTTGCCGAGTGTCCATGGCCTGCGATGTCGGTACCGGCAGCTTCAGGGCCTGAACTTAGGAGGCCCGTGTCGCTCGGAGACGTTTGGCCGCTGCCATCCGGCTGTTCGGCCCCATTCCCTGGATGAAACATGTTTGGGGCGCATGGCGGTGGAGCAGTGCTTTTCCACTGAGCTTGCAATCGGAGGAAAACACAAGTGCAGCTGGAGCGGAGGCTTCGTGAGCATGTCACGTCGTGGGTATGCGAGGGTAACGACGAGACGGCGTATGCGGCTGAGTGACGCGAGCAGCGATGCGACCCTCCAGTCCTGATCCAAGCAGGCGGGGCACAAACTCTGCGCGGGACTTCAGGTGGGTCGCGTCTGGTGCCAGCTGCTAGAAAACTCTGATACTTCGGGGATTCTCAGGTTTGCAGCAAGCCAGCCTGGCATTTGCTGGCACGGTTTTCTGCACGAAGTGCTCAAAGCCTGCCATTTGTAACGAGGACAAGCCTGCATGGTGACAAATCCCCCCACAATCCCACATTGAGAAGCAATGTCGCACACCCTTTGTTTCTGCATTGGCCTGGCCGCCTGGCCCACCTGCCATAATTGATGCATGCTCTTCCTCTGCCTGGCGGAGGCAAGAATTTCAGCAGCGTGGGCGCCACTGGCAGCTCCTGCGCCGGCCATTCTGGTGCAGTCTGCCGACACGCGGAAGAAAAATGGACGGGAAGAGCATGCCACCACAAGCAACAAACCACCACTACTCACACATGGTGTCCACTTGCACTGCACGAGTTTCAGAGTCCAGAGGCCCATGATCGAAGTTATTGTCTTGTCTGCGGAGCTCTGGAGGCAGTACGATTGTAACATATACTTCCGAAGCTATGGCAAACGATGGGAAGAGGGCTCGATCCGGGACCGCCCACTTTGGAATGGCCTAGCAACAGACAAAGTGTTTTTCGTGCCGGCTGGGAGCCTCGTGTGTAGATTCTAGATTCTAGCTGACTGACTCCTGGTGTTCCGGGCGGGGGCCGTGGAGCGGAGCATGCAACTGCTGCTACCTGCTAGCTTGTGAAAAGCATTGAAAAGCTAATTACTTAGTTTTGACCACCGCATCCACCACGAATGCTCGAACTGCCTCTGAGAGGCCAGTACCCTTTTCTGCTGATTCTCCACCCACCCAGCTTCTTCCTACAAGCAACTATATCCTTGACGGGCTGCTGCATGGAGGGCTTTGCACGTTGTGTGCTTGCACCTCCGACGACGTGTTACTGTGTGGTGGTTCCGCGGCTCGACTCCGTAGGTGCCCGGCCCGGAGATAACAGTGGACAGGATTCCAAACGTGCCCTTGCCAAGTCCACCTCGGCTCACGGCACATTCTGCTGTGCCTGAAGCTCCCGGCTCTGGATCTCTAAATGAGGCTGCGACGTGACGAGGCGTTGCTAAGCTTTGATAATCTCCACAGGCCACGAGCCAAAACATCCCAGCAGCGCAAAAGACTGCTCTCAGAATGGAAGACTACGCCACTCGAAATGATGCGCACGCAGATCGCATGTACCCTTTGATTCATCAGACGATCTCAGACCATGTGCCTGATACAAGTGCAACCATCAACTGGGGCTCTTAGACCCGTTCGTTGGCTGCTCTCATTTCGAACGGAACGCAACAGCAGCCCAGGCCGCGCCAGGCGATCCGGCAATTCGACGTGAATGGGTGTAGAAACATGATGCCCGACATTGGCTCACTTACTTCGTACAGCTCGGGAATGCCGGCAACTGGCAAAGCACTGCGCACGCATTAGTAATCGAAGGCCGCACGGCCCACGTTTCGTCCCGGCTGTTCTGCTTAGAGTCAAGCTCGCATTCAAGAAACACCTGTCCGGCTCCCTACGTAGTCACATTAAACCAATTGCAAAAGTATTTGCCTCGTTGAATCTGGACCCTACTTTCATCTGCAAGTGCAGTGGCCATTTCAATGCATGGCACGGCATGATGCTCCACACTTAATGTGCTGCATTCCCTTTGCCACCACCTCCGCCGCCGGCACTACGACACTATAGGTGGCTGTGCTGCTACTTCTGCTGCTGCTGATCCTGTACGACTGCGACACCACGACGATAAAGACGACTGCCGCTGCCGCTGCTGCTGCTGTGCTGCAACTAGAACTGCGGCAGCTGTATGGCTATCCTTCTTATCATCGCCATCATCTTGGGCTGTTGCTGCCGCCGTTACAACGACGCGTCGTCGACGACGACTACGACTACAAGAATCCTATGACTGCTTTTCGACTTCCATTGCCCGTCGCTCTGACCAGCTGTATGACTACGATACCCCTATCGCCACAGTGAAGCGCTGTGAATTTGCTGTCGTTGCTACTTGATACACTGAAATGTCAAAACCTTTTGCACACTTGTCCGAATTATGACCAAAGCTGTTAATCACACCCTCCGGTTTCTTGACTGTGTTGGCCTGCGGCGGGCGTCGAGACGGTCCCGTCGCACAGAGGGGATTTGTACCCCAGACTCTGCTGAATGCCAGAAACAAACTTTGCAGTAAAGAGGTCCTGCGAATGCGTGGGCTTTTCGTGGTCCATGGGTTTCGAAGAGGGTTCGTTGAGTCGGTGCTGTGCATGTGCTTCATCACCCGACGCAGCAGGAGTCTCAGAACCATGCACGTGAAGTGCTGGCGAAAGCTGCCAGACGACTGCACGGCCTTGATACTCGCACAGATGTCCAGTCCCAAGACGCAGAATAATAACGCCAATGAGCTGAATGAAGGGATTCGAGACAGCTTCCTCCGAACATCTTTCTACACTGGAATCCAGCAGCTTTCTGTCCATCATACCTTGGCTCCATCTGACTCAGTCCAAGCTTAAGCTTGAGTCGAGGAAGAATCACCATCTCAGCTCAGACCAGCTGGCCCTGTCTTCGCGATGCGAGCTTCGTGATCGAAGCTCCGGGGATAAGCTGGTTTCACTTCACAAAAAACCTATTGGTTGGCTCGCGACAAGCCACGAATTGGAGGCCAAAGCCGGCAGGCGCGACTTCGTAAATGCAAGAATGAACATGTGTCTGCGGATCGTGAAGTCGTAGCTTCGTGCTTGGCGGGTTGAGCATAGGCGGTGGCGCCTACTTTTTCAACAGACAAGATGACGAAGAGGCATTCTGGCATGGGCCCTAGGTTCTCATAAGGGGCATGAAATGGCATGAAAGCAAAGAGGAAAGAGTCTTAGGTCAGGAATGATCGGGTCACAAAGATGCGTAAAACAAACTCTGGCTTCTGCATGAAGCAATGTGTGATAGTCGAGCCCATATCGTGACGGCATTGTGCGCGTCTGCACAGCGAGCCTGCAAGGCTTGCAACACCTGGAGAGGCCGCAACTTGCCGAAAGGTGCTCGATGTTCAGGCAGCACCGCATCTGTAAAGCTTGAGAGCCCCCCAACTAGAATGAGGGCCTCTCAAATCGCAGCTATCCCAGGCGAATTTGCACACGAGTCATGTCGTGCTCTAGACACTATACATGCTTTGCTATTGGCTACTCTTTTTCATAATTTCCTGGAAGTTCCGTCCAAACCTTCGCGTGGCCGCCACAATGATGTGCCTTCCCACCGGTGAGCGCTGCAGCTTTGGCCAGGAGGACGCCAAGAGCTTCACTATCCTTGGCTCTCGCTGAAGTGGCATGTAGAGGTGACATGAAACTGTCGCATGCATGCATTGATGTTCGTGGCCTCTGTTACTCCCGAGAATGTATCGAAAACCTAGCACGCATTTTAGAGCGAATCCAGCTCTGAGCGACATCTCCTCCTCGTCGCTGCAGCAGCACTGGATTACACCTCGGATTGGGAGGATTGCACTATGCATTGAAAACTCGTCGCATATCTTTTCATTAGATCAAGTTGTATGTATGTCTTCGGCCTAGACTGCTGATAGTACCGCACTGCTGCACGGTCTCACAGGCTCCTCTCCAACCGCAGCCATAACCCCTGCTCCATTGGAGACATAGCCGCGTTGTGCCAGATAGTTGCCGAAGCGATCCAACAGAACCTGCAGCCAAGCTTCTGAAGGCTCTTGTGGGAGATGATCAAACTCCACTCATCTCTGAGTCGCTCTGCGTTTGAATTGCCAAAGCATGTCCTATCAAGTTGTCAAGCCCGTCCCTGAGTGCCAGCCAAAAACCTCTCCTGGAAACATGCGGCATATCCACGGAATTCCACATGCAAACTGTTCCTGACGAGAGCGAAAAGAGCGCCTGGCTGAGGGGAGCTTTGCCCGAGAGGCTGCTCTGAATCAGCTGAGCCTAGCACATGCTCGCGAGGAAGGTTCAACAAGTACACCATGCAAGCTGCAGCATGTGCAACCCCCTGCTCCTTCTTGCTGGCAAGTCCTTAAGATAAATAATTCGGAGTGCGCGGCAGATCGGGTGCTTCAAAAGAAACCTCTGGCCCGGACTTCAGGACTCAGCAAAGGGAGAAAGCTGCTAGCTTCAGTCTATTGGCAGAGGTGCGCCGACCCAACCCAGACCCAATCCTTCTACAAGAACATATGCCGGAAGGTGGCCATCAAGTGCTTCCGCGGCAGGCGAAGTTCTTCGCAGCTGCTCGACACCTGATCAAGGCCAGGGCTCTGCCGACATGTGGTCGTCTTGTGACATCCTGGGACACTCTGCAGACGTTGTTTTCTGTGAGACATCGCGTTTTTTGAATGTTCTGTTTAAATGAAGCTGTTCTGCCAGGTCAGGACCAACTCGAAAAATCGAATCGAAATCGACGTGAATAGAGAACAAAACCAAGAGTCTGGAGCCGGACAGAGCCGAAGAGCCGAGTCGCACGACCCCTTTTTACATCCCTCAACCTGAACCTTTCGGGATGGGCTTTGCATTCTACGCCAGCGAATACTCCCCAAGGGAGCAGAGCCTTCTCGCCTCGTGCGAAGGATGCAACGAAGAGGGAGCGACAGAAAATGACTCTATGCCAAATCTGGACCTGGAACGAAGGAAACAGCCGTCAAGTTGGTTACATGACCTAAGATCTTCTGGTCAAAGCCTTGCTTGGCCGAGGACTGCCGCAAACTTGAACTCTGAAACCTAAACCCTAAGCATCCCTAAGCCCTAAGCTCATTCTGAGTGACTTCCTGTTTTCCGAGTTCGGCCCAGACAGTTTCGGACTCGCTGGGGCTTGGTCCCCAACTCCGAGCCGAACTGCTCCCATGCAAGGAGCCACATACACCCAAACCAAGAGCAACCAAAGCACCATCAGAACCCGAACTCTTAAGCCGTCCACATGAAAAACAGGAGTGAAGCCCGGTGCGCTTGCGCCTCCAGACACCGCTCGAACACCAGTGAGGCATGCCTTGCGAAGCTGCCGCGGATCATGCCCCTAGCGACTTCTGGACTACAAGGGGATACTATTCTTGTTCCGATCTCTGCCGCACTTCGGTGGAAGCTCGGGCGACAAGGCTAAAAGGCGACAGGTCTTCTGTGCTTAGGCACTTGTGCTTCGCAAACTTGAGGACATTGGTACCGAGTACATCCAAAATCGCCTCGGGTTTCGCCGCATGGACAACAAGGCTTCATTCAGCAAATCGCTCGTGGTATAAGTCATGACAGCAGTAAAGAGGCTCTAAGGATGTGCTAGAAAACCCTTTGCCACATTACGTCTCTAGCGGCTTTCACATGATTCACGGTGCCATGTACCAGCAAAGCACGGAGGACGTTGCTGCCAAAGAGGTCTTTCAGCAGCTTCTCGACATTCTCCGCGTTGCCCAGCATAGAGTCAACCAGTTCGATAAGTTGTGGCTCGCGCGAACAGTGTTCAATCAAACGCTGCAAGACACGGCAACCATAGACATGAACCGCGACTGAGACCGCATGGTCTTTGAGCTCCGTGATCATGAAGACACCCAAGTGAGGCTCCAGCAGCTCAATGCACTTTTGCAGCACGAAGTTGGCATGAAGGTGCTGGCAGAGGCTGAGGACTTGGCCCTGGAGCTCCGAAACGAAACACTGCTGAAATTCCGGCATTGCCTCTCGTAAGGCAGCCTGGACGACCCTGCAGCCGAAACGGTCTTTGGTAAGGCGCACCAAGGAGCCCTTCAAACAGCTCGACAGCGCAATGACAGCAGAACTGAGCTTTAAGTCCTGGCAATGGCAGAAAAGCTCACTGACAACGCCGGCGCCATAGGGGTGACTGGCCAAGCATGCCACTTCGGGGAGAAGCACCGACACCAGCATTGGCGCTGCAGTGGGGTTAGAGCTGAGAAATTTGCTGACAACATCGGTCCCATTCGGGCTGCGGGCCAGCTTGGCAACACAAGCCTCAGTTGAAGACTCCAGTTGCATCTTGGGCACCGACTTTGCTCACATGTGCATGCAACCTTTCTGTGCGCTGCCCGAGGGCTACATCCGAGATCCGCGGCTTTGGGCACGGGGCCGGGTCGGCCTGTGCCACAAAGAGGCCTCGCTCCAAGAGAGTCAGCGCCAGTGGCCTGTCAACAGACCTCAGACTCCGCGATCTGGAGAAAAGAACTGCATGTGCGACAAGCTTCGCCTTGCGCGAACTTGTGAAAGCCCGTTTCTCGGCTCGTTTACCCAAAACGTTGGACATGCAAGAACTTGCAGGAAAACCGCCATGCAACATGGAACAAGGCCAAAGCAATGCGATATTGGAAAGCAGAGCGCCGGCTCAAACGATCTAATGGTCTGCAGTATGGATGGTGAGGCAGTCGCGATATGTGCCTTTAATTTACGGCTGGACTGCTTCTTCCACCCGTAAGAAGCATTCATTGACGGCTGTGCTAATTTCTGTGGTCATGGCCATAAAGAATTATGGTGCGTCGCGTTGGCGTCATCCTTCTACGTTTCGCTTTTCGCCTTCGCAGCTCGCCCTCCAGAATTGACTTTTGAAGTTAAAGACTGGAGAGACGGAAGCAAAAGCAACCCTTGCCACCCGCCAAGGACTCGAGTCTCTCATGGAAACTCACTGGTAGGTGGCCAAAGGCAAAGACACCGACCTATCACTCACTGCTTGAAGAACACCATCTACACATGCACGACGATCACATTCCTGCCGTCCCAGCCACACAAAGCCCGGACTCGCCATCGGCACCGAAGCTACTTCCTTTCAGACGGAAAAGAGGCTTGCGAAAGGTGCCAGCAATCACTGCTCCCATCCCAGTGCCTGCGTCTTGTCCGCAAGAACAGCCCGTGTGGCTAGGAGGCCAGGTGGCAAAAACACTGAAGTTGGCATGGCTGACCTGAGCCAGCTGGCCGATGCCCCATGCAACCGCAACTCTACGTCCTGGCAGTCTTGCTGTGCATTGGTCATTGCAAGCCAAGCATCGCAAGAGGTTCAACGACGGCATTCTCCACAAAATACCTTCCAAAGGAGACGGAGGGCTCTTGGACAACCCGGCAGCTGCAGACCGGCAGCTACAAGCTAAAGACCTAGGGGGGCCTCTTCCATGCAGGATCACCGAGGCCGCCCACGGCACCTTCTCAGGGGTTTGGATCCTTTCGTGCCCTCTGGGTGCAACGCCGTTGCTTCTGTTTGGCCCCGGCCGAGATATGTTTGAAAGGGTCCGATCCTGGAAATCTACGCACACACGGCAGCACCCGTTTACCGGCGGTCGGCCTGGTGCAAGCATACCAGGACAAGTGGCCGATGCCTAGGTCGTCCACTGAAACACAAAATCGCCACCGACTGAACCAAATCCTATAATGCTTCCCACACCCTGAGGAAATTTCCTGTAGCAACCTGCTGCAAAGCTACGCCGGTCGGCGCGTGACGGGTCGGCGCTGCAACGCTTGAGCCCGTGAACGATCACAGTACGACGTTGAAGCGACGATTACGTAATCGTTAGGGCAGAATTGGGGGGTTAACCAGCTGGTGTTTGAGAGCGTGGTTGTAGGGTTCCTAGATAGGTACGCAGGATTAGATGAAGGCTCGAGAACCGACTATAGTTTTGCCCCCAACTTGCTGACTGCCTCCTGGCGAGGTTGAATGTGATGAGCTGCTGATTGAATTTGCCAGGCTTGGCATTGTTTGAGAGGCTTGCCGGAACACTAGAAATAGTAAAGTGGCGCAGCTGCAGTAGCCTGCCGCAGATGTTCACAGTACATGCGAGCATAGCATCGCTACAGCTCAACCGCTATGATTAGGGCGGTGCTGCACGAGAGAGGGAGAGAGAGAGGAAGGAGCAGGAGCAGAGAATGCTTCCGTTAGGACTGCTGCAGGTTTCGGGCTTCTGTTGTGAAGGTCTTGCCGCCCCTTGGACTGTCCAGACGAGGCATATACAAGACTGGGATTGAGGGCCTTTGTCTCCTATGGACGGTCCCGTCTAGTTCAGATGCTCGGTTGCAGCATGCCCATTGAAATCATCCCCGTCCCCGACATCGTGCTATATCGTGCCCCAACATCTTCCCACATTCTGCGGCCTCGAGATCCTCCCTCTCGGGGCAGACAAGCCACACCCTTTCGGGCAGTGGCACTGCACCAGCGACCTGCGTGGGCAAGGAAGTGACTCTCACCGCCGGCCATGCAGAACCGCTGAAGCAGCAGCTGTGAACATAAGATATGCGTGGACTTGTCTTGTCTTTTCGACGGGCCAACGCACGGGGCTGCAAATGGCGTGGAGTTGCGCACAGTCGCTCGAGATCCTCGAAGGACGCAAAGAGCTGCCAAAGCCACCGGGCAAAACTCTTGCAAAGGCCTCGTCTGGACACCGAGCCCGCATCAAGGACAGCCGGAAGCTCTCCACAGTGTCCTGCCCGCTGCATCGCAGATAGGGTCTTACAATGTTGATGGGCTGTCCTTCTGCCAGCTAGCTGCAGCTTCTGCAAATACCCGCTTTTCAAAGGCCTGGTGTGGCTTGCGGTGTGGGTTTCTGTGAACAGAATATCTTTTCGCTTGAGGCGATACAGCGAGAGCCTGCGCCTCCGCTGATGCAGGTCCATCCAGCAAAACCCGCGTAGTCTCAGCAACGAGGCTTACACGGCAAGACTACCAGCGTTGCAAGTTAAGTGAGGTTTCATGATATATAATGATATATGCTGGTATACATATATATATATATATATGAACTCGCAGACTCCAGCACACAACTTGAAATTGAAATTGTTTGCAGCTACGGCATGGGACACGAACTTTAACGATTAAACACGCCTTCCGTCTATCGATGAACTAGCAGCAACTTCAGTCCAGGTAGCCATTGGCAGCATCCGACTGAACACCTGCTCTTGGTCCATTGCGACATCACAAGGATTTTGCTGGGTGCCTGCCGTGAACGCACCGGCTCATACAATTCTGCGAGTCAGCTCCGTGAAAGGGAAATCCTGCCCGTCCTGTGAAGCCACCGGACCGCAGCAGCAGCCCGCAGCTTGGGGCGACAGGGAATCGGAACCTGGCTGCACTTCGCCGAGACACTACGACGTAGGATCCGTGGTGGCAAGAAGCTGCTTCAGCAGACTCAGTCGATGACTCTGATGATTCTGTGGACAAGTGAACATCAAGGACCCCACTCCTACATTTCACACTGAACATGTCCGAACGCACGCCGCATGCCTGGCTGAACTGCACAGTGCGGCCCGCAGCGAGGGCTCAGGCCTTGTGCACAGAGCGTCTTGAATCCGACCATCGAAGACAAGGTCGTGGCATTTCATGGCTTGCATCTTTATTTCGAAGTTGTGGGCTGCCGGGGTATTGTCGCCACTCGGCGAACAGGGAAGCGACTGTTCTCGGTTTGCTTCGTTTGTATTCTGCCAACTCGAAAATCGCATGTTTCTTTGCGACTGCCCACCTGGGCACATGATCCTTCACGCATAGCACATTGTTTCAGGAGCGTCTGCAGGTGGATCATCATCTCTTGACATCTCGAAGCAAATCATCGAACGGTTGGAAGATGTCAACCGGTAACCACATGTCACATCATGGAACGGAATGCAGTCGCATCATGTTCCAAGCTCCTGCGCTGAGCTCCAGACAAGTAGCCGGCGCTCACAGCTGCAACAGCCCCAACGATGTACCGGATCCTGGCTTCTACTGTCCTGCTGGCACTCTCCTCAATCCGCTGGCCCTGTCAAATGCAAGGCGCACTGATTATACAGAAAGCGGTTGCCCTGCAAGAGAATGTGGATGAAGTCCTCGCGCACACACTGAGCTGGACGGCATAAAGCGGACGCGGCATGCTTCAAGCGGATCGCTGGCAAACCCGCTCGCTTCCTCTGCAGGGCCTGGGAGATGCAAGACTTGGGCATCGCACGCCTCAAGTTTGGATTCAGTTCGGCGGAAGGTGTCCGCAGAGTGCAGCGTTGGCTCTCCTGGCCGACCGAGCGTGATCATCTGCACTCAGCAATGTATCTATCATTTCGAGATTGCCTGCAGCTACGTCCTGCTCTCAAGTGAGCAGCGACATGGATGTCCCAACAAGTGTCCTGGACGGCTCCGGCTGCCGCGCAGACGGGTGAAGTTGTGGAAGCAGTGTCGACCAACAAAGACTTGCAGCAGCCTGTGCACAGATTGCAGGGCCTCGGTTGCTGGGCAGTGCCACTGTGGTCACGTGCGAGGGGTACTCGTGCTGTCAAGCGACAGCACCGCCCCTAGGTGTCGCGTCCTGCCATCATCACACCGAAGATCTGCAGCCTTTGAAACCCTGTTCGACATGGTCTTGCCACCTGGTGGGCCAAAACACTGGCAGGTAGGATGTAGTCGTACTCACGCCAGGAGCAAGAGTACCTCGGCTTTGCACCCAAAGCCCAACCGATCGCAAGGATGCTGGATGCTCATGACTCATGACGATGCCTCCGACAATGGTGGTCATGACACTGCTGATGACATACAAGTAGTTTCAATCCCACACAGCTTGTGACTCAAACAGGACACAGGTGTTCCGACTTGATAGCTACGGGGTTGATTGCTCAAACATGCAGAGCAGATGCGCCCCCGCCATCAAAACCAAAACGATCGGGTCGCTTCAGCGGGCACGTTTTCCAAAAAGGCGGGTACCACGGCATGGAAAGAAAATCGGCGAGATGGGAGAAGCCATTGCAATGAAGCCAGTGCTTTTGCAAACCGAGACGGGGCAAGGCTTCGGGCCAAAAGGAATTGAAGGGACATATTCAGTGCGAATAACAGCTTCTCCAGGTGGGTGACAAGAACGGCTCCGAATAGAGCGAGAAAACATAGCTCGCGCAGATTAGCCGGAAAAGACAACTTCTAGCAGTTAGCGCCTCCCGAGAGCTCCCGAGAACCGTGAGACCCGACCGCATCCGCCGGCAGCATGGTATCGGATCTTGCGTCGTCGCTACTGTAGAATGACTTCTTGCCGAAGCAGACTTCGGAATCCCCCCCACAGCAGGTCAAAGTCCGCTAAGATCCGCTAAGACGACCCTGCTGTGGGGTGGCTGACCAGGCCCTGATAAGGCAGGTGGTCTGAAGGACCCTCCGCCGCCCAAGCCGAGCTTCTGCACCTGGCGACGAAAAAGGTGCGTCAGCTTTGCAACCATGCAGCTCTGCCCACACCCGCACATCCACGACAGCCTGACCACCCATCTCGCGTGCGTGTCCCCTGTCGGACCTGCTTTACGCACCCGGAAAATATCCACAGCCACGGCCGCCAACCGATCGATCGCTTGTTTGAACACAATGCTCCACCCCGGTAAGGAAGGCGGCGTCCTCCTAATAGCCGCCGTATCACTGACGTCCCTTTTGGTTGTTACTAAGGCCTCGAGGGCCGGACAGTTCAACAGTTTTCATGGTGGTACATGCGACCAACTGCATAAAGCTCTTGACCGTCAGAAGTTGCCGCTTGCAAACTTTTGGGTGAGTTTTGTTGAGACTATAGTACCAATGGCTGAGCCCCATTCCCACACAGCAACACGCACGAAGCCGTCTCCAACGTTAAGCCGTACATGCTGATTGCAGTCAAGTTTCCGAGCGTCGAAGCTTTCGGGAACCAGCCGGGCAGCAAACACGACTACATCATCTGGCAGTAGGTCCTCGGTCGAGGGTCCATGCCAAAGCGGATGCAGGGCCCAAATCCCGGGAGCAGGGAGTTTGGAAAAGAAAAAGGTTGAGAGTTGAGGGCATGTTGCCCTGCTGCCTGGAGATGCCGAGCGTCGTTTAGCTGCGACACGAGCCATGGATATTGTCCTGCACTGGCCACGACGATAAATAGGCCCTAGTGCTGAGCTTCCTAGCTTCATCTCGTGCCCTCAGATCAGCTCGGCTGTGTCCCTTTTCATCCGGTCGCCCCACAGCCAAACGAGCCGTGATGACCAGTCTGCAAGCATGGACACCAGCATCTGTGCGGCTGGAGTGCCTTCACCACTGCCAGATGAAGCCTTCGCTCATCTCGCAACTATACATCAGCCCACCTCCATTCTGCATTGCGCTCTAGGCTTGTTGCTTTGGATTCCTCCAGAGCCTGGAATCGGCCGCATGCGCAGCTTTTACGTTGACATCGCAGAGAGAAGTCACTCGGGACCAGACGCCGGAGGACAACAAGGCCCCTCGCAGGAGCCACTCGATGGTCACAGCTTCGGTGACATCCTTGCATTGTGCTGACACACCGTGCTGCCTCATCTTCACGCACCTGTCTACCTCCGCCTCGTCATAGTGGATCTGCAATCCGTGGTATCTGGAGCCAATGAAACCAATCACCAGAGCCACCTGGATGCCACAAACACTTCAATGCTTCCACAAGTGGCATGCAGTCCCAGCACAAGCCTGGGCGACGAGTGCAAAATCCACACAAAATACGGTGCTGCTGTTGTGTTGTCCGTGGAACTTCTCGCTCGCTCGGCCTTCTCATTCGATTGTTCATGGCTCGTGCTGTTTTGGATCACCGTTTGGGGTTCGGCTGTCTGGACAGATTCATTGCATGCTCTTGTGCCTCGGTACTCTTGCGTCTGGTTCGGCTGCCATGACTCCTTATAAGGGGCTGTTCGCAAAACCTGGATCATGTTCGCTCTGGCCCGTTGCGCGCCTTCTGGTGAGCCACTGTGGAAGATCTGGCCTCGATGGGTGCAGCCAAGGTTGGACGCTTCGAGACCCCGCCTCGAGGTGCATCAGCCTGCCTCTCGTCTCTGTGCGTTGCCAGCACGGACTGCACGTAGCCTCCCTCTGCCTGAATCTTAGTGTCACAAATACCCCTCCGCGTGCAGCACGAGGCCCTGCTCCCTCGGATATCCTGGATGCTCCCGGCATGGCATGCGAGCCTCGTCGCTGCAGTAGCATCAGAGCAGAAAGCCGAGACATCCGATTCGTCGTAGCGCCACTGAAAGCCGAATCTGGCCGTGGCCTTGCGAGTGGAAGCGACTCTCCCGAGCTGATTCGGAGCAGAGTCTTGCTTCTGAGCCTCTGATGCACAGTGCGCACATGCAGCCAGGGCAGCCGGCATGGCTCACTGGCCATGAACATGGAGCCGACTGTGTGTACTGTTCTGCTTTCGTAGACACGACGAGACATCTCAATCCTCTCTCATGCTGCAAACTCACAAAACGAAGCATAAACTGCTCTCTCTGGTAACTGCCAAGACGACTCCCCGCAGAGTCCCCCACTTGTTGCACCAGAATCATGTCTCAAAATCGCATCTTAGTGGGGTGCCGGTACCTCGAGGTCTCCCTCCATCTCGGCCGTCATGGAGATGCCCCTGATATGAAGGCACTCCACATCTGCCTGACATCCAGGCTTTCCGTGGCTCGTGCATCTGCTGTCAGCCAAGTAAGCGCTCGGCAACTACGAGGACGGAAGGTGCCAGTTGCCATGCCTTGCTTTCACCACGAAGCACCCCAACTTCAGCTACCAAGCACATGCAACAGCTTGTTCATTCATAACGCCGTCACTGGGTCAAGCGCCCCATCCACAAACTCCTGCCACTTCTCCGTCTCCTGCCGTTCTACCAAGCATCAACGCCCTGACGCAGGCACCTCAAGCCTTCGAATCGATCTTCGAGACGCCTTTCTTGCTCCCTCCTCTCTAACCCTAGCAGCCTAGCATACACGAATTCGCGCATGGAAGTTGGAGCTGGCCTGGGGGAGCCGGCCCTGATGCAGGGCATTGGAGGCCAGGAGCCCGGTGTTGGAGGCGACCCCTTCCTCGCCTGAGGCATCTGCACTGGTGAGCTTCACAGCAAGTCGGTTCTCGTATGCCGCACAGGTGCGATCCGTCACGAACCATCGCCCGCCCGATGTGCTGTAGAGCCTCGGAAAAACGCCCAAACGCCTGTTTCAGGCGCAACTGCGCAACTTGCCCGCTGCAGACTACTTGTAGCACCCGTCTGAGCTGCGAGGCCAGCCAGGGCCTGCGGCTTGCTGCCACAAGGCCTGCATAGAGGCGGGCCATTGTACGCACACGGCCCCATGCACATGGCCTCATCGGGTCGATTAAAGAAGCCACCAGAAAGCTGACTCGCCGCTTAGGGTGGGGTTGATTCGAAAATCTCGAAAGCCGGGCACCAAGAATGAGCTAGCCAAATTAACAACATAGACCATCCCGTTAACCTTCTTCGTGTGCTGCCGTCTAACTTGGGGATCTATGACAACAGACGGTCTAAGTTGCGCATGTTGCAATGGCCTGGCCTGGCCGCGCTCAAGCCGGTTCGGAACCTTGATGTATTCGCCTGGTCAGCTGTGCCCAGAGTGACACTTCCTGCCTCCGGAGCATCGACGCCTTGAAGCGCGACCTTCGAAGCAGCCTGCGCGAAAAGGAGGCACAGCTGATCACTCTACTGAGAGTCCTCGCCAGATAAATTCTCTCAGCGGCTATAGATCCTTTGCCCCAAACCGGCACATCCAGCGTGGCACAATGAGAGAAGCAACCGAACAACTCTCTCGCTTCACGGGAGCAATTTATCCAGAGTCTCTCTTCAACTTGGGGAGCGAGTGACACGGCCCACTCCATAAACTTTGTGCACCGGCCATTCATGCGACCTACCGCTTACCACCATACCTTACCTGCTGAACGGCAGAAGCTTGAGCCCCCGTGTGCTACTTGGATATGACACAGACCGTGCTCCGTGCACTGTGGCGTTTGTCTGCACACTTCGTGCTGGCTACATTGCAGGCTTTGGCAAGCACCTTCCGAAGTCCACTTCCAAGAGACTCTTACATTAAGGCATGCCACGCGGATTGTGTTGTAGTTCTCATTTGTCATTGTCATCCCTCACGTGCTGTGGTGAAGGTGGGTGGCTTGGATGAGCACGCATTCTGTGTGGTGTGAGCCGGATGTTGCGAGGGAGCAGCGTCAGGAGCAGGTTTTGAACCCCGTGCTGCCACAACTAACTGCTCGTGTCCCTGATGCCCATGGAACGCTTCTGTCTGAGGTCTGCATCCCACTCGGCAAGAAGGGCAGCTGATGGAGTGGCTTCCCCCCGCCCGGGTTCTGCATGGCAGCCTCCGTTTACTTGACATGCCCAGGTCCAAGCGAGTAGGAGCAGCTGCATTTCGACACACGTGGGCGCAGGGTACCCCAGTCAAACTTCCGTGACTTGCGTGGATGAGCTTGAGGGAGACAAGCTTGCGCCACTCCGCGCAACTGTCGCGAATGACCTTGGATGGCTTCCTAAGGCCTTTCGCAAGGAGGTGCACGGCTTCTCCGCTTCTGAGAGCCGGGTTGCCGCCTTCCCCCCCTTGCTACAGTGCTCTATCGCTCATCGCTCTCCGAACGCCAGAGCCAGGGCCTTCAGCCAGAGGTGGCTGGGCGCGAGATCAGCTCGGCGACGGGCCAAAGCTTCCTGTTCACAGGTGCAGGCGTCTTTTTTTGCGTCCAGTTATGAACCGGTTCTCTAGACTCACACGAAAGCAGATGTGAAACTTTTTGCTCCGACCGCGCATACGCATGAAATGTCTACACCCAGACTCTGCGTCAGTGCACCAGGTGTGTCATCGTCGCGCTGTCAGCCCATGTTGGGCTGGTGCAAGGCTGCTTTACTTAAGCTACCGTCCAGGCAGCGACGCTCGTTCAGAGATCGTCACAGCAAGAACGTTGTTGAAGCACCCACTGCCTGATATTCAGGCTGTGAGCTCGAGTGGTTAAAAATGTGATCATGCCGTCACAAGCGTATCACGTAATAATCAACGCAGGGCCCCTCAAGGGACTGCGCTTGGCATGCTGCCCTCATCATGCACAGGTGGTGAACAACGTCTCTGCCGGAAACTGGGCTCTTCAGATTCCGTCTCAGACGTGACATCCGCTCTCCTCTGCCTCTAATCTTTCTGCATCTGCACCACATCCGCGGCACCTTTCCAGAACGCCTTCCTGCAAGCAGTATGACAACATGACCTTGAACTAAGAAAGAGCCACTCGCTTTAAAGTCTCAGACTTTTTGACCCTGTCGGCTAGAGGTGCATCTCACGACGGGGTGCCCCATGTTATGCATGCCTTAACTTACTACTGTACTAAATCGCACTGGCCACAAACCACTGCTGCTTCTTTAGGGTTGACGGCCACACTCAGTAGCCAATCGGGTGCACAAGGTGCGGCCGAGCAGCAAGATAAAGCGTCTCTCCATGTTCGGCTTGAAGGCTGTGGGAAGAATGATGTAGGGGCCAGCCGTGTTCTCCGTCAGCTCGACATCCACGCAAAGCTGACAGGTGTGTCATCATCTTACCCACAACTGTCGCGGTGCGAAATCTGCTGACGAGAACAGACCGCACCCGCCTAGAAGTCCTAGCAGCCCAGACCCTAACTGCTGTGCTCCCCATGCCTCCCTATCGTAAGCATAGGTCGACGTGCCGCAGACTCCGTTTCCGGAAAGGCTGCGATCGCGGTAGACCTGTCTGACACATTCTGCCACGTGCCGTGGCAACACTGGCAGAAAATGCAATCAATGCAATCGTAACATGCCCGAGCTGCCCTGAAGCCGATGGGTATCTCTTCGTCGCCGTCAAATTCACCACGCGAGTCTGCTTGCTCCAAGGTGAGGATGAGGTTCACCTGGGCTGACATCAGAACTCACGCTTAGGTTGGGGCACGGCAGAGCCGTGGCAGATATCAATCAGATAGCCGGGGCAGGAGCACGTCCCTTGATACTCAGCTGAATCTTGGGATTCTTGTCCTGAGCTGTTCAACATGCCTTGCCGATTCTTGCATGGACAGTACATACCACACCAAGCTTCGTAGGTCGGAAAATTTCGACAACCGCCTCGAAAGCAATGCTCCAGCAGCATGGGGCTAGAGGAATTGAGGCAGCAAAAAGCCGTCTTCTGCCACAAATGTGTCGATGGCCTGCGGTTTCGCCCCTCCACTCAGAATTGACGAAAACACGGTTCCAGCTATCATCGAAAAGTCGACAAATGTACCTCGGCAAGCGTGGTGAGCTACGGGCCAGCATCTTCACCGTCCCAAGACTACATAACTCAACAAGGTCTTTTGCTGCTAGGTTGCACGCTGCGGTAGTGGTTCACGAAGTCTTCGAAGGCCATCCAGAAGGAGCCGTCATTGGCATTCACATAGCCCTAATGTGCAGATTGCACAGAAAAAGCTTCCTCAGAGTGAGTTACCTTCAGTCGAAGCGCAAGCTTTTTCTTCATCTTCTGCGTCCAACTGTCTTTGTCGCCATCCTGAGAGATCAAGCGCAGTAGTTCCCCAGCACCCCCTTCGTTGCCGACGGGGCCCTCTGTTTCCACTAAGGACTGGACACTCCACTTTCCTTTCCATTCAGTAGATCCTCAATGTAGCAGCAGCAATGGATTCTGTCAAAAGCCTAACGAGCTGGAGCTGCTGACCACCCAAGATGACACCTACGTGCGGAGCTAAATCGAGAGTGAGGGGCCCCATGGATTGCGCAGCTGCACCAACCTGTTTCCCTCCACCTGCAACATGCAACAACAGACAGTGCGATGGCAACTGAACTCGAAAACAAAAGCTCTGACCAAGCCCTCACCCTGTCAAGGCCTCCTCCACCCGCAGAAGGGAATAGGCATGGCCCTTCCTAGGTTTTCAGTCCGCTGTCTGCCGGCTTTGCGTGACTTCCAAAAATAGCTTTAGGTTCGGCTTACTTGGGTGTAAGGAAATTTCTTCAAGAGAATCAGTTCCAGGCAAATTCAAAGGCGATCTGGGCCTACTTGCAAGATCTTGCAAGTGCGATGCTGGCTCTGGAGGTTTCGAAACTGTGCAAGCGCATGGCTGTCTCCGACTGGTATTGTGCAGGCACATTCCACCTATAGACTTCGAGTCGTACATAGTCACGGACTCAAGTCATACACAGTCATGACATGTTCGGTGGGTCGTAAGGTCAACTATGCGATGAATGCTGCCGAGGTTCACAATGCCCATATCACCTTTAGAGCAAGATAGGGCAAGGACAATGAAACTTACATGCTTGCTGAGCAGTGGGTGCCTGTTAGGCGCGCGCATGCGCATCTCAGTACCCAGCTGATGTCCGTGTCCTTCCCGGATCCCGACCCGCAGCCTGCGCTCGTGGACTCTCAGCGAGCTGCTCTGGCTGCCTTCGCCTGGCCTAGCAGGTGGCCGTCTTTTGCGAGGCTAAGGAGTTTCGCCCACATCGTGCCGTCGTTGATTTCCTGAGCTGCATCAAGAGTAGACCGGTCTTTATAGACCAGACCGACAAGACATTGTCGCTACCGGCAAGGCTTGCAAGTCATTTAAGATGTAAATGGGCGTCTTTGCGTGCAGCCTTGTCATGCAGGTGCATCTTCTCCCCGATGCCTCCTGTCAGTGACGGCCACAGCTTGAAGCACGGACGGCAAATGCGTGGCATCCCATGGCGTCGCAATAAACCTAGCACAGATGATCGCTGCAAGGCTCCTGTCATGTCCACCAAAGCATCGTTGACGAAGCCGCCCTCTATCGAATCATAGCTGCCGTGGAGTTTGGCATAGGCTTTCCTTATTGGGCAGTGGGAAGTCTGGTTTTGGAGCAGGATCTATGATGTTTGTTATCGTTTCGATTGGATTGAGGCCCCAGCTAAGGAGCTGGCTAAGGATCTACCGAATCAACTTGCAAGCACGCAAATGCAGGCTTTCACAGGTTCGGGTGGCATGGCGCTTTGACCACCTTACGATGTTTGGTGAGGATGGGTTCGCGCATTGTGCACGAAGCCCGGAATCCTGAATTTCACTGTAGTGGAGGCTCGGGTCGCGAAATGTCATGAAGACAATGGTTGTTTTTCACCCGTAAAGCATTGACTCAGAATCTGATTTTAGACTTTGCCATCGGCATCCCATTTCGTGGCCCCGATCCCGAAAGCAAACCTCCTCAGCTCCGCTTCTTGGAAGGAGCAGGGGAATGTCCAGAAGCCCAGCATGGGCACAAAACTTCGGCAGGTTGCCAAAAAAGGCAGCCTCGCACCGTGTTTATCTACACATCCTTCAGCAGAAGCTTGATCTTAAAAAGCTGAGAGGCAGTTCAAGCCCCACGACAAAGCTAATTGGGATGCAAGTGGAACAGACATTCAAACATTTCCGTGACGATTCAAACTCACAGATCCTAACAGTCCGCAGCACCGCCAAAACGTTAGGATCAAGCGGTCGTTAGGCCCCTGCTTTGGCACGAGCTTTCGGGAGCGGATGACACCACAAGACTGGCGGAGAGAAAATCTGCCAGGTTGTTGTTCTCAGCCGCTTCCATGTTTGTCCGAGACAAACCTGAAGCACAAACACGTTGACGCGACGACTAGCAAGCTACCATAAGTCCAGCCCTGTGTTCCGATCCTCTCGCACTTCTGCCAGAGGGGCGATTGGCAAGCAGGCTGCGCTGCCAGCGGCCGAAGTATACGGTGAGCAGAGCCTACTCAGTCAAGACAACTACACGGACTGGGCTGCGTGCAGCAGCCCGGCCTGCCGTCGATGCTCCCTCAGGTTCCCCATCAGCGCTCCGGCCAAGCGGCGAGTGCTCTTCTCACGCCTACGAACACTGGAGCACGAATCAGGTTCCTCGAGTCAGAAGCCTTCTGGCAGAAGAGCGACTAAGCTTTCCTGTGCTGCGCTAGAAGTGCAGCCCTCGCATCCCTCGAGCGTCCTGAAGACTGCCGTCTCTTCCTTTCTGGGGTGGTGCGGCTGTGGGCGCTTGCTTTGTGCCGGCTGCGGCGCTTTCGGCCTGAGCGGCGGCGTCATACAGCTCCGGGCTTACTGCTCCAGATTGCACCCGATGACTCATTCCAGGACTGCTGTTTCAAGGCGGCGACTCGCTTTGGCCGCTCTCCTTACATAAACTTCACTAGCATGACCGGCATCACAGCAGCATTGGAAAACTGTAAGCATGGTTCGCCCATGCGCAGTCTCGGAACGACCGCTGATGAAACACAAAAGCTCGGCGAAGAAATCGCGAATATCATGCAGCGAGGATCAAGCTTGGTGCTGGCGAAGCTGATCTGCGCATCGACAGCCGGAACCTGACATCGACGGTGCGATTTAACCCAGTTCTTTCGAGCATGCCACCAACATCCACCAACTGTGGCCGGGTCACCTTTTCAAGTAAGAATGCGCTGGGCGGTGTGTAGCACATCTCAGGGACCTGCGTTGGGGTTCGCCCGCTATCGCTCAATCGGCAACAACAACAGCAACAGCAACAGCAGCAGCAGCAGCAAGAACAACGCTCCATCCCTGTGTAAACGCGCACAGGGACGAGTCACGGCAACGTGTGTTTTACGTGGCCTGCGTGGGCCGAACGACATGTCGGGTTCCGGCAACATGCGTTTTGATTCTTTTTTACCGAGGTTTTAGGCATGTTGATTTTCCAATGTGTGTTTACGTGGCCTGTGCGGGACGAAAC